ACCCAAATCGGTCCACTAATAGCACAATGGCACTCTAAAACGTTCCAAATCCAAATAACCATGAGGGTGGCTGAAAAGTAACTTGCTCCCCCCTTAACTTTTTAACTATTTGAGATATTTGAAATCGGTTTACGGCAACCTTTTTATATATGATGTGTTACAACAATAATAGTTAATTTTGAAAATTTTGACCTTAAAATTTTGAAACCAAACCCACTACCCAGTGAGGGTGGGGGATAGCTTAAAATTTTTAAATAGGAAGTATGGTCGAGTTTGGTATCATTTTACAGGTCTTGACAAAAATAAATAATTGACATAAGGAAAATCGAAATCCATTCCCTACAAAATGACAGCTAAAAATTATTCAGACACTGGTTATTAGAAGTAGTTTTTAACCACCATTTCATTATTAGTAATCCAATTTCTATTTTCTTTATGTCAATTGTTTAGTTTTGTCAAGACCTGTAAAACGATACCAAACTCGATACTTCATTTTTGAACATCTTTAACTACTCCCAACCCCCACTACCCCTAAGGGCAAAATTTTCAAAATTAACCATAATTATTGTAGCCCTTCATATCTAAGAAGGTCGCCGCAAACAAAATTCAAATATTACAAATGGTTGAAAACTTAAGGGGTAAAAGTTACTTTGTGGCCACCCTGTATAAATGCGTCATCCAGTTTATTACGTAAAACCACGGCCCAGGCAATGACGTATAAGTCACGTAACTTCAAGTCGAATAGCTCTGTCTGACAGTGATATTAATATAAATAATAAACCAAAACAGTAGGCAAACAAATTAATTGAGTTATAAGAATTAACAGAATGCAAAACTATCAATAAGGCTACTCCTATAGGATACTACAACACAAAACGAGATATTTTCCCTCGCGTCATCATACAAAATCTGCCATTTTGAGAAATTTGTTTTGCTTAGGCCTACTTAAAAATTATGTGGTATTTTGTTGACAATTTATTCTCTTATTTTCATTGTCATTGTGTTATTGCTCATTGCCATTTAATGTATTGATACAGATTTTTTTACTTCATTATAGTAGGGTCATACAAGTACTTAAAATTTATTTTAATGCCTTATATGAATGAGATGAAATAACGAGAGTTAAAATTTATCATTTCGTAAAGAATCCATATAGATTGCACTACAATTGTTTGATTATTTTATGGAGAATCCACTTTATGATGTTGAAATATTTGAATTTATTTGAGTAATGGTATAGATTAAGACATTAAACATATTATGTCTGGCGAATAAGGAAACCAATATTGCTAAGGCATATACATTTGATAGTGCTCTAAAACACATCAAAGATATGGTGCTATAAAATGGAAGATTCCTTTCAATTCTCCCGTTACGTCAGAAATATTCACATTAACAAAAGTTATCGCTTACAAATCTAACTGAGCTTATCTTATCTTATTGCAAAATGCTGTGTTACATTAAATGATGTTTGCATAAGTACTGATATAATTATTGTTTACTGTACTGCTTCATTAATTTAGCGATTGTAACTAAAAGAAAATATTCGCTTATCACAGAAAAGCTAGAGACTGAGCGAATTTCCATTTACACACCACCTAACAAATTTTGGTATACTGTATATTACACTTTCTTGTTAAACAGTGGATTATAATTTAAATGTTTTTCTCATTCCACGGAACTTTTTCCATAGAAATTACTTTGGTATGGTTCTACAATTTAGAAAATTCATGAATTAAGTTTTTTGTATGCTTTTCATATTTAAATTTAAATATTTGCAAATAAATCTTTTTAACGAGGTGTTTTATCGTATTTTAGTAAACTTTATGCAGAAAAATACCTCTTACTTGGTGAAGTACGGGATAAGCCCGAGGCTTGAGCCCAGCTTTCAGCGTTTGTCAATAAAGCTGTTTGTTTGGGGCTGGACATTGACTGGCTTTTCCTTTATATAAATAGTACTTTTAGCATCTACTGTTTCAAGTGTTAAAAATGAAGTATGAGATTAAAGCAAATTTATAATTGGTTATGTATAAGCTCGAAACATTTGCATAAAATACTTATAAAAAGAGGAAAAGCTAGTAGAGTTTTCATGAAATTAAAAAGGACAGATTCAGTTATAAATATCATTCCTGAATTGGGTGTGTTTTTAAATGGTTTACTGTTTGTATATTTATAAGACAACTATTTTTGAAAACAATTTCATTAAAAAAAAATAAAATCTTACTTTCTTTACTTGAAAATTTCAATTTCAAGTAAATACACAAACTTTCAAATTAACCTTCCTAGACATAATTTAGAATTCTACACCAAAAAATGTTCATATGCAGTAATAAAATTTCATAGAAAATTACCTATTTGGCTAAAAAGGAAAATAACACAGATAGATTCAAAAGCTTACTAAAATACTTATTGGCAAGAAACCCATTTTATTCTATTAAAGAATTTTTAGAATGTAATCTCTAATATTGTTAATTTGATTTCCAGGTACATAGTTTTACTCTGACGTAACCTAAAGATTTTCTGATTTTTTAAATTTAAGAACTTATTTTTAGTTTTACAATATAAAACCTTTGTAAAACAATTTTATTTTATTTAGTTTAATAACGCCACAAGACATGATACCTAAACTTTTTGAAGACAGAATATTTAATTGATTGATTGTTGTTTTTTTATTCGTGATGGAAAATGTCCGCAATAAACCTTTGAACAACCAAGTAGATATTCATGTGACATTATGTCAACTGTATCACAGTTGCTACAGACAGTGACATATTTACCGTACAAAACCAAGTAGACATTCAATTGGCATTATGTCAAAGTATCACAGTTACAGCAGACAGTGACGTATCTGTTAACAACACCAAGTATACATTCAAGTGACATTATGTCAACTGTATCACAATTGCTACAGACAGTGACGTATTGATCCTACAACACCAAGTAGACATTCAAGTGACATTATGTCAACTGTATCACATTTGCTACAGACAGTGACGTATTTGTTGCACAACACCAAGTAGACATTCAAGTGACTAATATGTCAACTGTATCACATTTGCTACAGACAATGACGTATTTGTTGCACAACACCAAGTAGACATTCAAGTGACATTATGTCAACTGTATCACATTTGCTACAGACAGTGACGTATTGATCCTACAACACCAAGTAGACATTCAAGTGACATTATGTCAACTGTATCACATTTGCTACAGACAGTGACTTATTTGTTGCACAACACCAAGTAGACATTCAATTGGCATTATGTCAAAGTCTCACAGTTACAGCAGACAGTGACGTATCTGTTAACAACACCGAGTAGACATTCGCTCTATTTTACGGAACACATTTCAGCTCATTCAAGTTAATAACATATATATATATATAATATATACATAACATATATATAATATATATATGTTTGGCAGTGATAAACTCAGACACCGCTGAACCGATTGCCACGAAACTTGGTACATACGTGTAGAATTTCATGGAATAGGTTTATACACCATCAATTTCGTGATCCGTCCAATCGGCTCCGCCCCAGTGGCTCTGGAGTTTCCCATGTTAACCTTATGAGAACTGGAATTAACGAATCTTAACAGCTGTTTCAATTAAACAAGTTGGTTCTGTTCTATGATGTTCAATAGCATTAGAGTTACACGGATTACCAACAGGGTGCAGCACTATTATTTCTTTTACATTTATGACAACAGCTAATTTGCAACCAAAAGATGAGTGAGCATAGCGAACGAACTTCAACCTGGAGGCGAGTTAGCATAGTGAACGAGCTAACCTGAAGGTAAGTGAGCGTAGCGAACGAGCTAACCTGAAGGCAAGTGAGCGCAGCGAACGAGCTCCAACCTAAAGGTGAGTGAGCGTAGCGAACGACACTTCAACCAGGACGTGATTGAGCCGAATAGAAAGACCAAAAATATTGTCTACCCACTAGCATTATTATAAGAGCAATAATAAAGAATCGGTTATCCTTTGTACTATATGTGTTTCATTAGTTGTCGTTCGTATTTTAATTTAGTTATAAGCACTTCATATACAATAAGACAATTAAACGTTACGGTACTTAAATTATAAATAGTCAAAGGCAAGACAACGTCTGCCGGGTTCAGCTAGTATGTTATACAGGGTTGGGAAAATGTGTGGATCATTACCCCTAGTAAACTTTTTAATGGGTGACACCAGGAAAACTAAACTCTACATGCCTTCATAAAAAATAAAACTGCACTTTTTGGACGGTATCCCAATTTTTCCCGGGACCCCAAAATGGGGTATTTCGGGGGCAGCTCAACAATTTTAAATGTAAAACCCCATCGAGGGACACCTCGTTTTAAAAGCCTTTATTTAAGAAGAATATCAGCGAAAACTAGAGGTCTCTATCTCAACCCAGTACGACATGGGGGTCATTTTAAATTTTCATCAGCCTGAGAGAACCCACTTAAATGTAGGCATCAATATCCCATATTAACTTTTTAGCGGGTTATACCAGGAAAACTAAACTCCGCATACCTTCATAAGAAACAAAAATGCACTTTTGGTCGGTATCACAATTTTGACCGGGACCCCGAAATGGGGTATTTTGGGGGCAGCTCAACAATTTTAAAAGTAATGCCCCATCAAGTGACACCTCATTTTAAAGGCCTTTATTAAAGAAGAATATTAGCGAAAACTAGAGGTCTCTATCTCAACCCAGTGCGACATGGAGGTCATTTAAATTTTCATCAGCCTGAGAGAAACTTTTAATGAGGTTAAATTGTACGATGAATTTTCAGTTTTCCTGGTGTAACCCATTAACAAGATAACTAGGGGTATCCACACATTTTCCCAACCCTGTATAGTATTTCCAATATGTTTTTTTTTTTTTTTTATTCTTAAAAGATTGTAGTTTTTGCTGCTAAGATTATCTATCTGATCTCTGTGGACATTACTGTTAGTAGACCTAGCTACTCTGAAATACACTAATGACCAACAATGTTCGTTGCAGGATACTGGTGCGGGCCATCAGCTACACGGTGCATGGTCTGATTCCTGCCTCCTGTGTGTTCGCTGACCGCTACAACCGCGAGGAGGTGGTGCGCTCTCTCGGCAAGGAAGTCAACATCAACCCTCCTCTAGTGCTAGGACAGCTGCCCGACACTCCGGAGGAGCTCCTCAAGCTGGATCAGGTAAATTCTTATCATGTTGTGAAATGCTAAAATCATTGACCATCTCCTTCCATTCCTTTAGCTGACATAGCATGGTAGAAAAAAGTTTTTTTATTTCAAAGGTGGAGTTATTTCTTATCTCTTGTCATAGATTGCAGAAGGCCGGGATGAATTTTAAAATTAGGATACGTACTTTTTTTGCACGATTTATAACACATCTCCATCATCGGGTCATGTCCAACAATGATTTCACGTTCTCATAATTATATAATATAATTATAATTATATTTTGTTCATTTAGTAACTTTTTTCTTAGTTTATTACTTTCAGATATATGTGGTGATGTTATGTACCACAAAACATAATTTATATTTGCAAGGTTATTCACTATTGGTATATTTTTCATATTTAGTGATTCATCCTGATATAAATAATACAGTTACGATTTTTAACAGACTTTCATTACCTACATTTTCTGATAATAGTTTAATATAACTTTCTGACATTAAAAGACTTATAAAGCGTAAAAGTATTTTTTTCACCCACTACTGTACAGGTTTTTAATTCATCATAATTAATAACCTCCTAGCGTAAAAGGCAGTCAGTTAATTTCTGTACTCAAAATACTGCATACACAATATTGTTACATATTTATATTATCAATATACTCACAACAATCAACGACCAAAGCAATATTCTACCCTGATATTTGGTGTAAATATTCAAAGTACCAGCGAATGTCATGATCTGTATAATCTTGGAGCCAACAAGAACAGAATGTAGAGATTCCCAGATTACCATAAAGATGCAAGTTAGAATGAATATAACATGAGACAACCAATCGGAGAAATTTATGTCCTTTTGATCCTTCCTTTCTTCTGCCTTCAAAAACACCGACCTTCTTAGACTCTGTGTACATTAATTATCTCATATTGAATTTGTTCCGCGGGTGAATTTGAGCGACAGACTTTTTTAACTTTATGTTATTTCTCAGGTTAAGGATGCAAAGGTATACCCTTGGTGAAGATATCTAGGTTTGCTTTTCATTTAATTTAGCTAACGATATACATTTTCATAACGTGAACACATAGGTCCCATTTTAAATTATCAGTATGAGAAATACCCCCACCGCAGCAAACCTTCAGACTAAGCAAATTTCAATTTACATGATTAGATTTTCAATTAAATCTATTTAAAACATTAGGAATAAAAAGTACCAGACCATAGATGACTAAAACTAGAAGAAAAAGTCTTAAATATTGCTAAATATTATCCAATATTTTTTTCACATGTAGTATTTGAAAATATCCCCACCGCAGCAAACCTGCAGACTAAGCGAATTTCCATTTGCTTGATTGGTTTTGCACTAAAATATCTCCTTAAAAATATCACAAAATCATCCCCTATTTAAAAAAGCATAAGTTGAACAAGTACTTAGGTTTGCTGCAACAGGTTGGGTTTAAAAGGGTTTTTTAATACAGTATGTAGTTTAGTATGAAATAAATGAATTTTCCAAATTTGATAAAAATATGGTAATAAACATACAATCTACAACAGTTTACTTATTCTCCATATGAATAACATAGGGATTTTAAGTTTACAACATTTTGTTTTTTCTCCGTAACCATTAGGCGCATAATAATACTTCAATATACTAAATAATTTGTTTTTTGAGCTCTACAAAATGGTTTTGGAAAGAAATTGCAAATATTTATGTGTTTAGGGTCAAAAATGGGAAACCCTATTTTTACCCCATAAAACCCTCCATAAACCTCCATGGTCCGATCATGCTGGTTCGTGAACTCGTTCGAATAAATGTAGGTTTACACGTCTATACCAAATTTCATCAAATCGGATCATTTTTGCTTGAGTTGTCGTTTTTTTAATGAAATGAATTTTAAAATAAGGGTACTTAGTTTTTAATAATGCATTTGTATATATATGTATATATGAATATGAACGGACGGTGTTTTTGTTTCCCTTTAAGGACCTCAAAACGAAAAAGTAAATGGTCCCGGGTCAGGTCTTACCATGAGTACTACGTTAATAGCTTATTCTCTATATGGGTAATTCGCTAAAAGACCTCTTTATTTTTTGCTACCCCTTGCATATGAGAATAACTGCAAGAGCTGCATGATATAATATAATGTATGATCAAGAGAAAGAGTAACATTGTTTGTTCTTGTTCTGGCTTAGTGGTAACACAGTTACTTTTGAAACAAAACACCCCTTTATCTGAAAGGACAAGGAACACATGGTTTGTAGAACATCTCGAAATAATTTTATAAAGCTTACTATGAGAAGTACTGGACCTGCTATGTACCTTATTAAGCTATGTACCTTGCTACCATAGCTTTGAAGCCTAGTCTATCAGAGGATTTTCAAATGTTTTGTAATGTTGTATAATCTTTTGTTTAGAGTGAACTTAACTTAATTAATATCGTATCAGTAGATGTAATAGATTATTACCCAGAATATGCTAAAGATGAAACATACACTCTTAATATTTATTGCCTTACGGATTAGCTAAGAAGAATGTCAAGGTTATTTCAAACAGTTAATGAAGAGGGAGCTTTTGCGTTAACTATAATTCTAACATTTAATAAACTTCTAAAACTATTTTGATAGAATACAGAAATCAATTAGTATAATCTCCGCTAGTTTTATAACATATTAGTTAAGTCGAAAGTGTAAAATCTATATAAATAAAATTAGAGTTTTGTCTGTACATTGCTCAGAATTATATACTTTTAGGTTATTTTTACGTTTTATACATTAAAGAAGCAGAAACGAGTCTTATCTCAATTTCTGTCTGTCTGTCTGTCTGTCTGTCTGTCTGTCTGTCCCTTTGTCTGTAACACTCAAGATGGCATTTTACGCAATCTTCTCCGTGAAAACCAGAGTACATATCAAGATCCAAGTCATTTTAATGTATTCACTGGATTGGCGAGAGTGTCTTTAGTGATTTAAATATAGCCTCACTACTTTGTAAATAAAATTACGGACGTTCAAAAATGCAGTTTTGTGCGATTTTTGTCAAATTTTCGTTCAATTTTTATCACATAATCGTCTATGAAATAACGAACAGCTGTTCGGATCAAGATTATTTTTTCTAGCTGTCAATGACATGTTTACAAATGTTGTTTACAAATACCGCAACTATTTCGAATCACGTTTTGAAAGCAAATCCCAACCAAATGAGATTAAAAACGTTTTTCTTACATAACGGATTTAATTAATCGCAAGTGCAATAATATAGTCTAATAGTGTAACCGTAAATGAAATTAAATAACTAGACATCGTCCAAATCGGAACCAGAAATTCTTTGAGTATAAAATGTTTCTTGAGTTTTGACAACCAGAAAGAAGAAGACCTTGAATCAGTGTTGTATAGGGCTGTGACACTGAAATGATCGTCGCCAATAGCTTACAAAAAAGGTTTCCACTCATTGACGGCGCTTCAATGGCGGTTGTGTAAAGTGTAAAGTAAAAAATCACAACTGCAGTGGGTGATTGTAACAGAGGTTTAACAGAGGAAGTGCTAAACTCGCTTTTCCAATGTGTCACTTTCTGTTTCTACTCACCGTGTGATGCAATCGCTGGACCATACAGCCAATAGGCCCATAGCTCATGTCTTGGGTACGTAAGCCTACATATTTATTCATAACAACCTTTTTGACGACGATCCTTGATACCGGTACTTTTCCATAGAATACATGGCCTACCTACTTAAAAAATAAAATTACAAATGACCAAAACCCCAACATTGTGTGATTTTCGTCACATTTCCTTCTAATGTTAATAGATATACTAATCATTGTTTAGAGAATGCGTAATCTATTAAATAACAAAAAGTTATTTGTTACATTTGTTTGTTGTATTGTTACATGTAAAAAGTTGTTGGGTAAGGTTGCTTTTTTTTCAAACTGACACCGATAAGTTTACGCTATAACTTTTTACGAGAAAATCCAAAAGCAAGAGATCAATAACCTCGGGACTAGATATTAATGTATTTAATTGGTCCGATTTACTATAGTTCTTAGGTAGGTTCTTACGTAGGTACTGGTTCTTTTCCTTAGAACCGGTAGTAAATTTGATATCGTTGGTGTTGCACCTTATTTATTAGAGCCGTCCGTATTCAATTAAGTGATGTCTTAACTCTGTATAAGTTTTGCTTTTTCTGTCTGGATTCCAAATCTTAGCTTACCCGGTATGTTAATAAAATGATAACCTATTTGAGTAAAACATTTGTTGGGCAAACCATCATGAATTGTTTACGCTTTTATATTGTTTATGTATCAATAGTTCGTGGCCTTTGTTGGATTGTTGTATTGTGTTGTTTTGTTGTATGTTGGTAACGCATTAATGTCCTTATTTCTCAGTGTTTCACGGAATGGACAAGAGCACCTTTGATACTGAAAATGTCAACCGGAATAAAGTGTTAAATGGTGAGGTTGAGGTAGTACTTTAAATGCGTTTAAGTTAACCGATGTGGAAAGTAACTTTCAATTATAGGCTTACTTTAGGGCTACGCTTCATGGATCTATAAAAGATTTTTAGTTTAATCATTGGACATATGGACCAACACGATCCGGGTGACATTTAATTGCGAAGCATTTATTTTGGCTTGAACTGTCAGATACTGTATTTGCGAAGGTTTATAATATAATAGTTTTGCCAGCATATCTGCAAATATGCAAACTAATTGCTGTTCTTAATCTTAATATAAGAAGGTTTCAACTGACTACTATAAGATCCCCGTGCGTAGAACGGGCACACAGCTAGTAAACTCTAAAATGATAAAAAAAATATCGCAAATATAACGACTGCTGATCTAGTCGACTTCAGCACACACAAATGTCACCAACATGCCTCACATAAAAACAGGTTTGAGATTTTAGAATAGGACTTGAAGTCCACTTACAGCGTTTTAAGCCAACGATTATGCTTAAATCGTACAGATATTTACATGTAAGCTAACAACTTCATTTCTACTACTGCAACAGGTTTTACTGGTAACGG